AGTACATTGTATGTATAATTGGTTCTTTCAAGCACTTATCAAATATTATGATCAAATGGAAGGGGAATTTTGCGCGTAGTTTTTCACTATTCTTGCAAATAGCTTCATAATCGATGGGGGGTCAATATCACGGACGCACTTACGTCCGTGGATACGATTGCTTTCGTCATTTATAGCTGATATCTGGCGAGTTATGAGATGTGGGGGCATCTAGGTGGCACAGGGACAGAAACATCGCTGCCATCGCTCGGTTGGTCATCGTCGACGCAATAACGCGGACTCAGCAACTGATAAGCAATCCTGCACGTTAATGGCCTACGCTCACGACTTGGCAAAAAGCCAGTGCGTGTTGGTGGAATGAGAATCTTACAGTTACGTCCATTCATTTTCTTGTTTTATCTCTTTCTCTCTTTACTAGACGTAACATGTTGAATTAAGATCTATCTTTATATTTTTACTCACTTTCATCTTTATATTATTAGACGTCAAGTAATTGTACATATATCTTCAATTATTCTTCAATATTTAATGCTTTCATATTCATTTCTTTTCAGTTAATATCTATTAGTAATATAATAGTTAATAGTGTCTTAAATAATTTAATATATATGGAATATTTCATGAAATCTTTTCTTTATCATTATAATATTATCAGAAACATTTTTTAAATAGTATATGATTTTTTTTAAATAATGATATTTTTTCATAACAAATTATATAATAAATAATTTCAACGTAAATTTTAAATGGTTATGAAAAAGAAAATATGTTTTCGGGACGTTTTTATTTAAAATACTTTCACAAAATTCTTATTGGTAGGTAAGTATGTTGACGTAAGTCAGATACGTCTCTGTGTTTTAAAAGCTATGCCTGTTGCAGCAGTAGTTTTGTCTACCAGGAAATAGTGAGAATTTTTACGGACGATTTGCACGGATTATACGAGGCTGACAAGATGATTAAAAAGACCTGCGCATTCGCTTTAGCATGGCGTGACCCCTTTTTGGCACAGTAAATCCCGCAGCTTCTTACTCGACCCTTTCAGAAAAAAGTTTGCCCACCCCTTGGTTAACTGGTAAACGCCTCGAGCTGTCTGCACGCGCACCTGCTATGTACTTATATCGTCCGGCTGTTTCTTACCACGCGATCACAACTTATACCTCTTACTGATAGATAATTTTGCGTAGCAGAATTTTGTTTAACATAAAATTTATCAAAATAAATAAATTTGATAGAATAATATCGATTAAGCTCATAGGAAAAATTCTTTATCTTTTAAATTTCTTTTACAAGTATCAAAAGAAAATTAAAATGGAATATTATTCTATATATATTTATTGTGCATTAAAATCACCTTCTCTTTTTGTTCGTCGTTTGTGTCTGCTGATTAGCATGCAGCTATACTCATGACTAGATCTTGGAATACAACAGACACGTGAGGCGACTGCATTACGTTCACGATCCAATCGTAAGATAGATTTCTCGTCGAACGAACGTAAGATAACTTAAGATTTATAATCGGTATAACATGATTATTCGGCATTATTTATTGATAAAATTTTTTATAAACTTTGCTTTTAAATATAAAAAAATCAACACATTTTTATAAAAAATAATATTGACTGGATTATATTTATATTATATTATATTGCCAGACAAAATAAAGAATTTTAAAGAATTTTTCTGGAATTTGATTAAAGAATATTATTTAATATATATTCTTCAAATTTTTCTACAATACAATTGATATTTATAATAATAAACAAAAATTATTTTCCAGATTGATAATAAACATAAATTTCCATAAATTTTTATGAATAAAAAGTTCAATAAATAATTTCCATAGCTTTTTTAATTTCGTAGATATTTTAAAACTGTAATTTTTAAGATGGATGTATTGTTCATCTAGCCATTTAAATATGTTTCGAATATATATACGATATATATGAATTCAACGATCGAGGGTTACAGATCGTCAACGATGGGTAGCTTTCACCATATCCTTTTTCTCTCTCTCTCATTCTTTTTTTTTACGAGGAAACGTAGAAGCGTAGAAGCAGGGTGGAGACCCGAATCCTGAGGCAGTGGACCGTGAATGCGATACCAGGTTTGCCATGCTTCGGTGTGGGAGTGGTGCCGTCAAACAACCGTTCGTCGACCAACCCTTCGTAGTGCAATTCTGTCTTCTGCAGGTTATAATTTCCATACTTATATTAATTATACTTCGATATATTTTATTTTCTGTTATGTTCTGCAAAAGTAATTCAAATTTTCTTCTAGAATAATAATTTCAATATAGAGATAGAAATCAACAAACAATGAAAATAATAAATAAAGAATATAATATCATATTACTTTATTTTATTTAATCATCATTATAAATTTTATTTTATCTCATTTTTTTCATTTTATTAAAATGAATATAAAAACAAATCGTTCATCGAATAGATTAAACTAAAAGAATGATCTATATCATATTGTTCAAAATCAATTAGTCACTTCTCCAATTGTGAACGACGTCAAAGTGAGTATTTTTCATCTTCAAAATAAAGAAGCAAATGCGCAACAAAAAAGTAAAGGATGGAGCAATAAAATATATAAATTACATTATAGAATTTAAATTTTAACATATTAATTAACTTCTTTGCAAAAAATTACAAAAGATTTTTCATTTTTTTTTCTTTTCAGAATATGATATACAAATTACATACTTGATATACAAGTCTATTAATCACAGCTGTCATAATAGAGTTACATTAATCCTAATATTTATTCGTAGCTCTATGTGATTATGATTCATCATTTGCAAGCAAAATATACTGATACTGTATATATAATCACCAAAGACATATGTCATTTCTAATATTGTTTAGAAAAGCTATGGCGTTACTAATTACAAAAGAAACATTAAAGAGATAATTCTGGTATCGTCACCTTAAGAAATGAAAATATCTAATACAGCATCTATTTATGCACATGAGATTAAAATGCGTCAAGTTGTTAAATTTTATTCGAAGAGACAAAGCTGCCTGTTGAACCGGTAGAGCAAGGTAATTACAGTTTCGTTGCAGACTATCGGCGGCGTCTTTTTCTTCTCAATCTAATTAAAAGATGATTAGCTAATGAGGGTCACAGATATTCTCAGTCACTAACGAGCTTCTCTGTTGTTGGGAACATCTATGTAGCTATAATTTCAAGATTTCTATCTGACTATAAAGTGCTATTTGAGATCATAGACCCTGAAAATGAATACAAGGATATATGATTATATCCATACATTTAGATTTAAATCACAGAACAAGTTATTCTGCATTTTCTGTCTAATTTGTCACATTTTTAAAATCAATTAAAAGCAATTTTTCAATTTATTCATTCATTTTATTTTATTTTTTAATTTACAAAATTTTGAAAAAAAAAGTATTTGAAATGAATGCATGGTAAAATAATTTGAAATATTAAAAAAAAAATACATTAAAAAAATGATGCTTGACGAAAAAGAAAAATGTTTGCTCATCTATATATTGCGATCAATCGTTTCCACGCGATAGATCACTAGTCACGTGCCGCTGCGCGTCGGTTCATCGATCACGATTAGTCGTATGACCTGCCAGAAGTTCATCGATTTTCAAGCCACCCTGAAGTCAACTCGTGTGACAACAATTCATGCGTTCATTGGTCGAAAATGTTATATTCTATCCAATATTGATTTACATGAGTCAATAGAAATCTAACATAATTTAAATTTAATATATGATTGGTAAAAACATAACCTCTTTTCACATGTTACTATATTATTCTAGATGAGACAAAGAATGATTGGACAAAATTATTATTATCATATTGGAATAAAATATTCAATGGAAAGAAACATTTATTGGTCTCTATAAATTGATATAATCTTTTGATCTGCAATCCGTGTCTTGGATCATAGATGCATCGCATATTTGAATTCCCAAAACATCGATGCAACGATTTTCTCTGTGATACTCAACTGAATATATATATATATATATATTACAGTGTCGACTTACGAACAGAACTCTTTGTTCTCTTTCGTATAAAATTCTGAGCGATCCCCAGGGTACTTTGCCGATCAGTTCACTGCTTACTTTCGAATGTATTCGCTAGGGAGTTTCGCGTTATATTTTCCATTCTCGATAGCGGAAGCGTCGGTGTGCTTTGATCTGACGAGCGACAGCACTAGCTTTTAAGCTTGTAAAAGTAACAAGCAGATGGTTAAGATAGCAATAATTTAATCTTCGATATTGTAAGCCTTTTGTATGCGTGTCTGTTCTTGTTTTTGTAGGTTATATTTTTATAAATTCAGAATATATGTATAATATATAAAAAAGTTCGAATGAAGATTAATTGAAGAATTATATTTCATTTATAAAAAGTTTCTATTATTATTTTTATATGATTTGAAATATATATAATTTATTGATAAGTCAGATAGTTAACAGATTGTGTATTCTTTGGGAAACTACAAATTCTCAAAGCGGAGAAACGGTTCCCTTCAAATCGATTGAGAATTAATCCGACTGCTATCACGTTTCGCAAACGTCACTCCATTGTCTCATTGTCCATTGGAGTGAGAGATAGCGATGGAGCAGTAGAGAACGAGAGATGACTTTCCTTCGTTCCTATCTTGCCTCCTTTTGAGATCCCGTCTCGATCCTATTGGAGGCCAGGGGGATTCTCTGTTCTTCTATGGGCAACTAATGCCACTGGACGAGAATTGAAACTATGACCTGTATCCATGACTCATTTCACCGATTGCTTTTATCACTTTTTCTATATTTATTATTAAAGTTTTCTACATCATTAAAGTTTCAATCGAAAAAATACATAGAATGTGTAGTAAAATAAGAAAAGAGAAAAAAAAGATGATAAAAAATATCTTCTATAAGTGAGTCTCTATATCTTTTTATATTATATAAATGATTATCTCATATTTCTTTATATTAAAATATTCTATATATATTTATATAACATTGTATATTCTATATAACAAAAAATTAAATATAAATGATACTTTTTAATCTTATCTTTATAGATCTCGATGAAATGGCTTCTTGATTGAATTCTCGTTTGCCTGCCTCTCGTTCTTCGGTCAACTCGATTTGATCGGCTGTTATCAGTAAAACATTAAACGGACAAAGAACAGAACATGGCTACAGACTATAGATCAGATCGTTCTCGATGATCAGGGTACATGGAGATTCCTCGGATATATCTGCGTCGCTGAAAAAGGGCGTCATGCATGGCTCGCACTAGGGTGTCATCTGCACCCTCTATAACATGAGCAGTTCTGTAGATGATCTTCACGGTCAATATAACGGATGTCGTAAAATCAATTAGTGGCGAATTGTGCCGCAGCCCGGATCGTATGCATTGTATATGCAGCTCATAAAATTTCTTTTTTTTTTTTGTGATCTTTTTGAATTACTCTATGTTCCTCGCATCGGTTCCAATCGATAATCATTTCTTATCAAAGTACAATTTTAAAATTTATCTACAATATTATACTTTGTTAAATTTCTCATTTGCAATAGAAATATAATATTGGTATGTTATAGATTATATTTCTGTAAGTCGCTTTTATATCATTCCGACAATAGCTTAGTTAATATTGACTTTTGAATGGTCCAATCTTAGGAAAAGCCTTTTAGCGTGTTTCAGCATGCAGTAAATATTATTAGGTAGAAACTGTTACGGATGTTTCTCAGTGAATTGATGAGATTGTCAGTTCATTTCTTTTGCCTTTTTTTCATTTTCTTTCTTTTTTTCTTCCAGGAAACCATCCCCGCATAGTAAGACTCCAACGACATCCTGACAAATCTTTGGGGTCGTAACCGATTGAAAGAATTTTCCGTGACGACTCGTTCATTGTGCGTGTTTACTAGCTAAGCGATTTTCTCGTTGTAGAAAGGTCGAAATATCTCTCAGAAATACAATAGAAAACTTGTAACAAAAATCATAGAAGCAAACATTTTAAAGGGAAATTTATGTTATTCACGGAGTAAGTGATTTAAAATGATTAAATATAAGCAAATGCGTTATGAAAATATAAAATATAAAGAAATATAATGTCAGTTAATTTTTTTATGACTTTTTTCTTCTAGTAGTAACAACGATTCAGATCTCAGTAAATTGTACAAGTTTTTATCATTCCAGAGACGTATATCTATGAAAAAGAGAAATAGTCCACATAAAACTTTAACGTCCTTTGTGCGAACGTCACCCGTTACAACGCAACGTTGCTTTGGCTAAGAGCCGGTAAAAGTCGAAATGAAGGAAGTTCTCCTCTGAATTCTATTTCCTTCGTCAAGCGGTTTGCAGCCTTGCCTATCTGTTTTCTCTTCACTTCTCACCCTTCTATCTTTTCTCTTCCTCACAGCTTCTCTTCCTTACTACCTAGATAATTTAACCATTTCCAGCAATAAATCAAGTAATTTTCACTTATAATTACAAGCATAGTGATTTTATGTAACCTGTGCAAATTATTTCTTTTAAATTGTTTTATTAACTTTATTCACATACAATGATATTAACTAACTTCTTAGTAATTTTAATCATAGTTTAAAATACTTTCTGCTTATTCATATTTTAATTTTTATACTGTACTTATAGGTTATCTTGATACTATTTCACTAATCTGTGACGGTTAATCCAAAACATGGGAGGAAGAAACCGAAGGGAAGACGCACATATGAAATTCATCCTTCTTCAGCAAAGTTCGAGGAGTGAAAGAAAAGGCTCTCCTTGTGGCTACAACTCACAACTTACAATTCGGTGGCTACGAAACGGCTACACCCTTTCATGAACGCGCGGTTCAACCACTCGTGACCCGACCAACTTCGCCCCAAGTGGTAAGTGTGGCGGGAATTATGCAATTATTGCATTGCGCCCGACAATTGTCGCGGAAAACGGTGAGTGCCTGAATGGCCTGAGTGTCTAAGGGGCAAAGGGGCGCGAAAGAGGGATTTCCTTGCCGATTTACTACCGAGATCTCCCCATACGTTTCATTCCTTGTTTTAATTCATTCCATGTTGGATGCGATAACGATGGAAAGTCAGAGGTAAAACAATCTTAATCAGATTTTGAAAATAAAAATGTATCATAAAATCAGATCAACTATTCTTGAATATTAGAATAAATTGTGTAAAATATATATTCGAATACATCTTTAAAATAGAATCATGAAATTATTCGTGAGAATTCTGGTGGGTTATTTGTAAATTCCTTTCGATTTCGTGTGCGATTTGGTTTCTCAAGATTCCCAAGGAAAGTCTGCTTCAGTTGTAACATTAGTCAATCAAATTGATGTATCGTGCGTGGAATTTAAAATGCATTTAAATCTGAAAACATTATAATTTAAACATTAAATAACATCAAACATTTTTCGTGGAAACAAAAACTTTTATATCAAAGATATTTTCAATTACGATTGTTGAAGATTTTATTAAGAATTCAAAGTTTAACCAATGGAAAAAAAATGAAAAGAATCAAATCTGCCTCTGTTAATAAAGATACCAATCTATATGATGTACAGGCCACAGCCAGAGATACACTTATACGGGTACAATATAAATTATAACCTTAATATCGTATATATTTAGATCATTTAGACTATTCATTCGCGTTAATATATGTTCTTTCATCGTATCATATATTTGCATGCACAGCATTTTATTTCATATATGAATACGACGATTAAGTCATGATCTTATATTAGAAATTGAACAATGCTTTCAGTATTAACTTTCATAAACATTAGATTCGTGAAATTCTCAAAGATTTGAATAACTTATTACTTGAAATAATTAAAAATTCTTATGCATGATGATTCTTTTATATAATTAAATATATAATTTATTATTTTATCTTTTCTTTTTAGGGAAAAATGTTTCAATCTATGAAAATGAACCAATACCCAATTTTTTGTACAAGAAATTGAAGAATTTTCTGAATAAAATATGAAAAGGAAAACACATAAAATTAATATATTAATAATAAATTTTGATCATTCGGCCTTTGTTAAAGATAATATAATAATATTAATAATATTAATTTATTTTATATATTTATATATTTTATATTTCTTTCTTATCTTTTTTCAGAAATGATAAAAAAATTTCAAAAAGTCAAAAAGAAAAAAAGGAAAAGAATATTAGATTTTATTTTTTTTTGTTGAAGTCAACAAATTCTATTGCATTCTTATGCTATCTGATATCAGCATAAATATTGATTGAACAAAATATTAAATCTAACACATAAAAGTTTTTTTGGATTTACCTATTCAGATCTGTTACGAACCAATTTTTAGTTAATAATTTATTGTCATGCATAATAACGAGCCTGTTTGATTTGTATATGAATGCCTGGGTAAACAATTACTGAATTCATGTGTGGAATCCTAAAACTTAATTATCTAGAAGAAAGATGCACTTGATCGACTGGTTATTTATTTTTTCTGGCTGATGAAGAATTTTATATAATGAAACTGTTTAGATTAAAAATCATAGCTCCTATAAATTTTACAGAAAGATCAGAGACCCTTCTTTAAAGAATATAATTAATCGATCAACCATCCTTCGTTTTCATTAAATCCTTTTCTTAGAAATTTTTATATAGAATAATAAAAACTGTTGAATTGTTTGCTTATAAAAACTGCTTTAACGAAATAAAAATTAAATAAAACAATCCACAGACCATTTCCATATTTTTTATAAATTGATCGAAGATTTTTGTAATTCAAGCAACTTAAAAAATTTAAAAAATATATATTCAACGAAGATTATTTAAATCATGCAAGATGAAGAAATTTTTATAATTGACAAAATGGAGGAATTTATCAAGGAAAAAGCCTTCTTAGAAAAGGATTACAACCTGTATTAATTCAAAAGAACAATATTATATGTCTATTATGGAAACTAATATGAATTGTTGAAACATATTGTATTATGTTTCTATATATATTACGCTTTACAATTTTTCATCTCTCATTTTTCTTCCATTGAAAAGAATTTATAAATTGTAAAAACTATTAAATTATGTGCTTCCACGAAGGGAACAATCACTGTATGAAAGTCGAGTCAATGCTATAACAACGAGACGATCCGCAAATAAAGAGGATCTGCAGGAAATCTGCAAACACGAGCGAAGCAAACGGGCCGGTCCATTAATATTCCCTCGTAGGATCCGAATAAGGAACGCGCAGTGGACTGAGAGGCTCCCCGACCGAAGCTATAAAAATTAATTAGCTCTTAGAAGAAGAGACTGGCTTCTATACCCATGACTCGTTCACCAAAACTGTGAGACCATCCTCCGTAGGAAACGACCTTACTTCGTTATTTGAAGGATCAAAGCTGGCACGGTTCCTGTCATAGATCCTCGATGAATGATCGATACGATATCCCTTGAACGTGGTTCGATCCAGACCCTTTTCCCTACGTCGTTGTTACAAGGTATAATTAGTCATTGATTCCTCGGTTCGTGGAATGATGGGCAATGATCACACGATTCGATCTTGGAACATTTTGTCAGGATTATTTTTTAGTCGTTCCAGATCGTGCCTAATAGATGATTCATTGTGGCTTCGAATTTTGAAAGAAATAATCTAACATCTTCTTTTATCTATTACTTTTTAAGTGATGAAACAAATGTTTCTTTTTATCTAAATAAGATGTTTTAATTTTAATATCGATTTAAAATTTTCCTTCCTTGAGAAAGTTTTTTCCACTGTCTTGTTAAGTAAACTATGGTATGTAATTTTTTTCTTTTTTTAATTTCTTATATTCTCAGAATATATAATGGCTTTGTACACGAAATCTTCGGTAAAGTCTGTATATTTACCAATTCTTAAAATGTTTACTAGCACTAATGGTTCCTTTTTTTAATTGTAGGAGGAAAGGAGGCAAGTGAATAGAAAATGAAAGAGAAGCATTTTGGTGCAGTATTATACGGCACAGAGGGAATTCGATTATGGCCAGTATCCACAAATTGCCTTCTAGTTAGCGGGAGTATCTTGTGGTCGAACTATCGCGAGATAATTACACTTCAACCGCTATAATGGCAAGTTAGTTATAGAGCGGTGGATCTTGGCTCGGGAATTGCGAGCTGGCTGATTGAGCATATCCACTGAAAAGGAACCGTTTTCTTCTTGCGAAGAACAAACTTTGGTCGAATGAATGCTCGAGAAAATCAGTCATGTCAATCATCAATGTGAAATTGATTATCTTTTCATCTTTTATTTATTTTTCTTCGAATTCTTTTCCAAATTATCTTAAAAATTGAAATGATTCTGTTCTTTAATTTAACTCTTGCGACTACGATGAAGTGAGATGAAGATCGAAGATTAATGAAACGTTAACATGTTTTTTAATTAGTTTAGTTAAAGAGAATAGAAATTGAAAGAGTTCTGTGTGTTTAACCAATTTATAATTATGAAATTAAATGTTGATCAACACAAAAGGAGAAAAAAAGCAGGCAGGTGTAATGCGACAAGAGGTAATAGATATTTTTCCAAGATTTAAAAGTGTCTGCAAGAGTCAACCTACGGAACCTTCTCACACTGCGCACCGGCGTTCGAGCTTGAGAGCTCTTCGCCTTCGGAACAATAAAACCATTTCTGTGGGGGAGTGAAACAACTCTGGAAACCGTTCTTCAAATTGCTGATGGAGGCACAGGTAGATCTATTCGGTACTTCAAAATGGAATTCTTTCGTCACAGAATTCTTTTTTTGAATATCAATCCAATATCAAATATTTAATAATCTTAAAAATTTATCCATTTCATTAATAGAAATTCTTATCATATCATTTTTATGTACAATTTTTCCACTTGCAGAATCGTCAAATAAAATCAGCAGAAAAAAAGATGAAAGAAAAGATTCTGAATCGAAAAAAAAAAAAAAAAGAAATGTTGAAATAGAAATTGGATTATCGTGGACGAAAAAAGAGGAAATCAGGATAAGTATGATAGGATGATTTTCGTTCAAGGATTCTTTATAGCACTATAGAAGCGTGCATACGAAGACGGTAGTCCACGAACCCTCGAGAATCGAAGAACTACCAACGAGCTCCAAGAACTACCTACTCACTTACGGACTCTCACCTCGGTTAGCCTACTTACCTTTCCCTCTACCTCTGTCTCTCTCTCTATCTCTCACGATTTCCTTCCCTCCTTGACAGTCTCGGTCCTGCGGCACCGAGTCATAACCACAAGGAGTACAATGGGTGGAAACCACTGGCGGCTTTTCACTGCCACTTCTTCAGCCCGCCAATTAATTTCCGTGGCGCTGATCTCGTTCTTCAAGAAGGCCACTCAAGAGCTGCCGATGGATGAGCATAAATCTTCAAATCCTTCTTCTTCTTCTTCTTCTTCTTTCTCCCTTTTAGCCTCGTGCTATTAATGCGTTTTACTTGTGAGGTCCACCTGAGTTGTAAGATCCTCGAGCGTTTACGATGATCTGATCATTCATCTTTTTATTGCTTTCATCCTTTCTTGAAATCCGTTTTACACGTCATCTAATTGTTATCTAATATTTTACAATTGCTAGAATTAAAGTTATACATCCTTTTATTTTGAAAAGGAAAAATATCGAGAGAAAAATATAAATGTTTTACGTTTAGAAATTTTTCGATGATTTTCTTCTTATATTATTATTAATAATAATAATAATATTTATCGTTTAATAATGTTTGATAATGATATTGCAGCGGCTGCATTATAAATAAGCGCGCTAATGGAATACGATTTTATCGGAGAACTATCCGTGGGAACTTGGACAGATCTTCTTGGAGGAGCATCTGCGGATAAAATATTCGTGGTGCACCAGTGGAAATAAGGAATCACCGCATGGATGATCTATTTTAGAAGACGCGAACCGCTCTCCATGGGTGTCTAGCCAGCGGAAAAATTGAAAGGCCGCGCTAATTCGCGCGACAATGCCTCCCGACAGCACGCCGGAACGGAAGTTTATCGCGAACCTCGCGAAAAACGACCTTTGGCCGGACGCCAATCGTGGCACGATCTTCCGGGGCTCATGGCCAATGACGAGGACCACTCTTGTCGCGCCGACTTGCATAATTTATTATCGACCAACGTTTCGACGACAAATGGTCGACGTTTCATCCTATTGCGAAAAATCTCGTGGTCAATGGTTGGTCAATCAAACCTTGCTCATTTCTCCTTGTTTTCATCGTTAAATTCGTTCGAAGTGTTAATAACACTTTACATCAAAATCAATTTATATTAATTTTTTTCTAATGATCATTAACATCAAAGATACATATTTTTTTTTTATATAAATACTTTTATATAAATCTTGTCTTTTATACAAAAAGATTTGCTTTAAAAAAGAGCCAATTTTACTAAAATTTATATGGTTAATCAATAGTCAATTGCACAACGTTGCAAATTATTAACTTATTATTATTAACAATTTATATTATTAACTTCACATCAAAATCAATTTATATTAATTTTTTTCTAATGATTAATATTAAAAATACATATTTTTTTTTTTTATATAAATACTTTTTATACAGAAGACAAGATTTGCTTTAAAAAAGAGTCAATTTTACTAAAATTTATATGGTTAATCAATAGTCAATTGCACAACGTTGCAAATTATTAACTTATTATTATTAACAATTTATATTATTAACTTCACATCAAAATCAATTTATATTAATTTTTTTTTAATCATTAATATCAAAGATACATATTTTTTTTTTATAATATTTTTTATATAAATACTTTTTATACAGAAGACAAGATTTGCTTTAGAAAGAGTCAATTTTACTAAAATTTATATGGTTAATCAATAGTCAATTGCACAACGTTGCATTGTACAAGTGAATGTATCTATACATGGATTAATGATCGAAGAGTTTAAATAGCAATATTGTATAATCATCGATATTAATATATAATATATACATATCATATAAATAATTTAATATTAATATTAATGAATCAATTCTGAATGAATATTAATGAATCAATTCTGAATGAATATTAATGAATCAATAATGAATTCTCTACAGATTAGACGAATTCCAAGGATCTCGAAGAAGCAAACCCATTGAACGCCCATTGCGAAGTTTGGAACGTTGGAAAACGAAACATATATCCATGATTCCTCCGGTAACCCTCGACTTGGCGATCTGACGTAAAGGTGATGAATGCACCGGCATTTAGCAAAGTCGCTCGCCGGCTTGCGAGAGTCGCCTAGACGATAGAAGGATCAGGGTGTAAAAAAGCAGCGACTACGTTGGCGGAAGGACAAAGGAAAAGAAGAAAGAGAAAGAGAAACGTGGAGGGGAGGAAGAGGAGACGCGGGATCCAAAGACGCGGGGCTGGAAAGGGGAGGGGGAGAAGGGGAGAGAGAAAGAGAAATGAGGGAAAAGAGGGAAGAGGGAAAGAGGTTGTGCGCGCGGAATTCAGAAGCGGAAAGAGGGATGGAAAAAAAAAAAGGAAAGGGGGATAGAAGAAGGAGGAAGAGAGAGAGAGAAAGAGAGAGAGAGAGAGGAAGGGGGGATAGGGAGAGGGACGAGAGGATAGGGTGGCGGAGTGAAAGAGTAAGAGAAAGAGAGCAGGGATTAGATCTCAGGGTGAGTGGGTAGGATTGGATTTGGCAGAGGCGGCTCCGTTGGTGGTAGAAGGTTGCCGAGAGAGAAGGAGGAAAGGGGAAGTGGAGACTTTGGTTGGTGTCCGAGTGGTGGTGGGGTTGTGGATGGGGAAACGCACCGAGCCAAGGGAGAGTGTCAGAGAAGGAGAGACGTAAGTGACAGAATAGGTGGTGGTGTAGGTGAACTGGACAACCACCAGAACTCTCGCCAGTATTTAAGGGAGAGTCGCGAGCGTAGCGCGCCAGTTACTACGGCCGATTGCCTCCACGAGGTGTCCCCGAGATAACGGAGTCACCGCACTCGATTCTGGTGCGGAAAGAAAAAGGGCGCGAAAAGTCTTGGCCACGTGACTCGATTTTGCGAAACGCTCCGCTTTTTTTCATTTTCACTACATACCGTCCTATCGTTCGTAACCCATTCGTAACATTCGTTTTTAAAGCATGGAAATTCAGTGACGATGATGTAGCTACGGAAACGTACGACGAAAGTTAAGAGAGTTGGAAAGATTTTCGATTAATAATACAATATAATAATTGTCGTAAGGGGAAGTGATGATAGAAGAAGGTGATTGAAGTCGGTGACAGTCGTCGAACATGAAGGAATGTGCATCCTTTGAGAAAATTTGTCGCAGTTCACGGAAGTGTACGATTTATGGAAGAATTTAAATCGTCGCACCGAGGAGTCTTTGGTACTTTCGCTCGCGGGCCGTGCAGATGAGCGTGATATCAAGGTAGAAAATTCGTTGCAAAACAACGTTTACATTCTGAAGGAAAAATTCGGTGTAAAGGAAAAATGAGCGTAGCATTTTATTTTTTCATTTTAATAGAAGAGAAATTAAAAGAAAAATTATGGAACGTTGAGATATTAAAATATTTTCACGGTTATATATTCGCAAGTTATTTTTATCCTCTCTTTGTGCTCGAGAAAAAGTATCGCTTTCTTTTTATTGGAAAAATTTGCAGAGGTTTGCAAATTTCTAGAAAAAAAAAAAAAAAAAAAAAAAAAAAAAAGAAAAATAAACCGTTTCGAAACGGTTTATGGCTATGTATGCAAATATAACGTAGCGTTAATTACGTAAGAGCCGAGATATAAAGGCGCGGCTTCTTTTTATCCGATGAAAAGAAGATGATTAAGCCTCCGATGGCAAAGTGCCAAACAGTTCTCCGCGAACGATGAAAAGAAAACGATAGGATCATGGGTGGTATCGGGCCGGCGGCTTGTCAAAGCCATGGCGCTTTAATTTCTTTAAATCGGAGCAGAACGCCAGAAATTGATATCCCCCGTTACACTGTTCATCGATCCAACCAATTCCCTTTACAACATTCCCCGTCTCTTATTGAATTCACCAATAACTAAACATAAAAATAAGAAACGAAACAGGAGAGGAGAAATACATACTTATTATCAATCTCTTAATCCAAAAAAAAAAAAAAATCTTCAAACGTTTTATTCGCACAAAGGAATTTCGCTTTTAAAGCAAAAATTTGAAGGAGCTCGAACAAATAAATTCACGATTAAAGTAATTTCGTTTTGGCAAATCAATCAGTGAAGAAAATATTTAAAGAATTTATTCAAATTTACGAGAATATAATATCTCTTTGTAATAAATTGATTGTTTAATAATAACACTTATAATAAATTATATTAACCGACTGGACTGTACTCGAAAAAAGAAGAAGAAAAAAGGGGATCTGGCGATGTTAAGCCGAAGAAGAGAATGTAACATGAAACTTCTCCGGATTCCTCGAGTCAGAAAATAAAAGAATAGAAATAAAATTCAATTTGCCAGCGGGCAGATCGCTTAACGAGGTAATAAATATCGCGTCTGTGTCCAGGGAAAGAAGGCGAATCGTTGGGATCCGGTACCCGATGCTGGCGGCGTTGGGGCTGCTCCTGGTGTTGACGGACGCCGGGGCTGTTCACCAACAATCGAACCTTCTCCTATCCTACGCGAACACGTCGTTTGGATTCCCCGGGACCACGTCTAATCGCGGTATTTCAGTAACCAGGGTTCTGCAAGACGGGGAACTCGAACGTGTGATCCGGTTGCCTGGAATTTGCGCCAAGGAGACCATCGTCAATTGGGGGTAAACAAATCTTTTTTCCTCATCGCGAGAAAGATCATCGCTTCATCGTTTAATATTAGCCTAGGCTTTTGTAACTGATATTTTTGGAAAGTTTTTTTTTATATCTATCTCCTCTTTGCAACAGTTCTCGAGGATATATTTAAAATTCTTCTACAAGATTCTTCTTTCTTGTTATTTTTTTTTTTCTCTTTTTTTTTTTTTTTCTCTCTCTATCAAACATAATAATATCGCGACGATGAATATTTATTATTATAGCATTCGATAACCTATCGAATTTAATACAGATATTACGTATCGAGGATTCGTGAACTAGCTCTTTGTTTACTCAAAACTTACTTTAACTCATCGTTATCGTCGTATGCAAGCGATCGCAAGTAAGATCGCGTAAAACTTTTAAAAAAATTCTTTTTAAATTTTATTCAATTATATTTTTTCGATCCACGTTGGAGCAACATCCTGCAACTCCTCTTTGTACTCTGAAATAACATTTCCTTCGGTTAGGAGAGAAAATCTCCTCGAGAGAGAGAGAAAGAAAGAAAGAGAGAGGAGGAGGGTGGGGAGAGGGAGAGAAAAAGAGTGCATCCCTTGACTCGCAACCCTCTCCGGCTGGAAACGTAGGAATCGGTATTAGGCGAAGAGGAAAACAATACCTCCTTTCATTATTGCCAATACGCGTGGGAGCCACGAGACTGGCCACGTATGCGTATTTAACTTCGGTTGACTCTCTCAATACCACGTCGTTTTTGCATCGGTTAGCCGATACCGGCCATTCGTTTGCAGTTTCCTGGACGCGTCCTTGTCAGCTCATAGAATTACAGCACCGCCGTGCTAAATCGAGTTGTTCGCTGTCTTTTTTTTTTTTTAAAAGAGCGACTCGCACGTATCCACATGCTCGTGTGCCACTCTCCACTCGGTTTCTCAGTTTCTCTTCTCTTTCCTTTTTAAACGCGATTCTTTCGGCTCGAAAAACTCGTGGCGAGAGAATTTGATCAAACGAATTTGATCTGAACAAGTATTATTAAAAAAGAAACAACCTTTGAATTGTCATCGAGATGATTATATTTGGTAAATTTTCGGATCGAAAAACAATTTATCGCATTCACCCGAAGTGGACAGTGACCGCTAAGCCAACCGAGGCCTTAAGCCGAAAAGCGGCAAGTTAAGTAAGCAAGGATTAGGCGGAAGCAGGAGACCGAACATCGAGAACACGGCCCCCGGTTGCTGGCCTCGGACCAGCGGTTGTAACTCATCTGCGGATGCTCTCACGAGGATATCAGGGAATTCCACGACCGCGAAACGTCACCTTGCACTTAAATCGGTGAAAGCTCTTTTGCTGTAACGAGAAAAGCGCGCGGCTTGCCATGTTCTCATGATTCAAACCCCGTCACCCCGTTTCTGAAACCATCCATTTTTCAGCGAGAACGAAATCTTCTTCTTCTTCTTCTTCCCCTTCTTTTTTTTCTTCTTCGACGGATATATTTACGACGGAGAAAAAGTTTAAAGTCTATTCCATCCAGCGATTGCTTTTTGTCTGCATCGAACAGAATTAATTGTTCGTTTCGGGACAAGTTATAATAACCTAATGAAAATAAAAATATTTTATTTTTATATGATAATCGCGTAAATTAAACACGATATTTCGAATGAACACGTCGAGGGTAATTAAACATTGTTATCGAGGGACAGCCCCCAGTTTTAACGAATTTAACGACTGTCGAAGATATTTATCGATGCAACGAAAAGAAGGCGGGGAGGAGCATCAATCATAGGTGAACGTTAATCACGAGGAAGTAATCGTGCGACGCGTGCGTGCAGTCAATCTAGCGTGAATTAAACGCGCTTACGATAATAGCCATTTCGAATCAACGATACATCCGTTCTTTTGTAATTCATCGTTGATCTAAAAAAAATAATAAAATAAAATAAAATAAAAGTAATTGACCAAATAAGGTATCAAAAAAATAAATCATTTGAGAATTATTGTTGTTTTTAAAGAAAAATAATATTTCTCCGATAGATACACGGACGTTGCATTGAGACAAGTCTGGATACAGAAGACGGGGAGAAAATTGCAATTGATATACGAGGGTGGCACATTGACCGACTGCATGGACGATATACTCACCGATAGCGAAGAGAGATCTTGTACGTCAAGCACGCATTTGGACGACGATTATGACGACGAGATATCCGTGGAATTGTTCGAGGTGGACGGGCAGGAGGATGCATTGAGGATCCCCCAAGATCTATCCTGGCTCTCCTCCGTGTCCAACTTACGTCATCGATGTACCCACGTAAGGAACAGAGCGCGAAATCAACTGATTTCTCAGCATCGGCGAAGGTATAAAATCTGTGATGAATAAAAGAAAACGCAAGATATAAAAATAAAAAGAAATCTTGTTATATTGTTTCGATAGTTATTAAAAGAAATAATGAAAATTTTTTATTTTAAATAAGAATGGAAAATGATTATTTTCTAACTTAATTATTTTTATAATTATTTTTTTATTTTAAAATTTTTCTATAACACATATATATTATAAAATCATTTTTTAAATTTATGAATAATAAGAAGATCACTTTTATTTACGAAAATAAATTTTCAAAATAAAACATTCGTACAATTTTGATTTTTATGTAATGCAGGAAATATTCAAAGCTTTTAAATGGAACGAATAGCGGCCACCGTCAGAGACGAGGTAAAAGCCGTTCTCGAAGAGACTTGTTGATGATCCCAGGAACACAATGGTGCGGTCGTGGTCATAGGGCCACGAAATATACGAACTTAGGCGGTTTTGGCACAGCAGATGCTTGCTGTCGAAGACACGACACAGCGTGTCCCTTTTTCATTCCGGCTTTCGAGACACGCTACGGTTTCTTCAACTGGGGTATCTCAAGCATGATGCATTGTGCCTGTGATGAACGGTATTGAACATCGATTACATTTAAGCATTATCCGGCAAAAAATCTAAATAGGAATCAAACGTATCATTTTTTTTATCATCTTTGTAGATTTCGAACGTGTTTGAAGATGGCGGGCACAGCATCGGCAAATTTTATCGGCAAGATTTTCTTTGATGTTTTAAGAACGAAATGTTTCATATTGAAACCGCAAAAGGTTTGTACGAAATGGTCCTGGATGGGCAAATGCCAGCATTATGAATATCGAAAGCAGGCTCATGTTCGCGATAATGTTCCTTATCATTAAAATGGAAAAGTAGCGGATATGTTTGGGGATATTCTTTTTCTAGAAATGTCAATACCAATTCTCAGGGATGTAATAGTTTATCGAAAGTGTTCGATCATGACTTAAAGGCAACAGATCAGAGATAAAAACAATCATCCTCTTTAACTTTTTAACTACATGAATGACAATACATAGTGGTCACGATAGAAAATTTAATCATTAGAACAGATTTGAAATTGATTTGAATTTAATATATTTCAAATTTCTCGCAACTTTTCATCATGTTGAGTTAATTTTGATTTGCAATAAAAAAATAAATTCGAATATCTGAAATATTCAAAATAATAATTATAAATCATGTAATAAAAATCAATAATAGAAATTTTCAATTTTTGATTTTTCAATAAATTTTTCATTAAATTCTCTTTAAATGGCAAATAATAAAAAGAAACGATAAATGAAATCGAGAAATGAAATCGTTTGAAATAGACAGGGTATCATTTCTATTATCTATAAGTATATACTAACTATGTAGTCTTTATTGTTCTCAAAGATGCCAAATAAATTATTCTGTAGATAAATCATAATAAAAATGTACATATATTACGAATAGCATAATTTTTAAAGCATGAATCTAGAAAAATTGAATGCATTAAAAAATAGTTTAATCGAATTGTTATTAAAAATGATAGTTAAAAAAATTTGGAAGATCTATTTCTTTAAAATCATTGAATTATATAGTTAGAAATCTGAATAATAAATTATTAATTTATTTTTATTTTAATTCCTCATCTACATATGATAACATTAATTTTATATTACTTATATTTGTGCATGTATTTAATATATTGTATTTATGTATGAACGAAGCATGCTCTTGAATAATAATAATAATGTATAAAAATGTTGAAAAAAATTCGAAATTATAACTATCCAATAGTATTTAAATATTCAAATATACTATTTAAATAAAATATATCAAAATAAATCATATTAAGTAAATATAAAATACACGATATGTTTTCATATTGTATAAATGAAAATAATTCATATATATCATAAAGTGTCAAAATATTTAATAATAAGTATATAATTGTAAATATGTATAATAGGAAAATAATATTATATCATCTTTAATAAAGAATACATTGTAAGAATAATTAGAATAAAATCTTATGAAGAATTATAAAAATTGAATATATCGTTACTTCTATTTTTTCCTATACTTTGAAATTTTAATTCAATTATTTCATTTGAATTTAAATACAACTTTTAATTTGGCGCGTTACATATATATGTGTTTCCGTTAACTAACTTGCCAAAAATGCGCAGTTTATATCTATAAAAAAATTAATGCATATGTATTTAAAATTTAGTTTTGTGAATAATTAAAATTTTTTTGTAAAATTTAATACTTTTAATTTTACTACTTAATATAAAGTATTGTGCATTAATAGAAAAAATTAAAGTCAATTCATTAAGAAGTATAAGACAATTGAAAATGAAAATGTATGAAAATGAAATAAGAATAAAACATGGTGAAATCGTTTGCTCATCATCAGAATTAAATTTAGGTGTTACTTTGAAAAGCGGTCAAAGTTTTAGGTGAATTTTTTATAATATTATGAATGATATTCTTTAAGATATATACATAACCAACATTTCTTTAATTTTTGTAGTTTTAATATTTTAATATTTGTTGTTTTATTTGCAAATTTTTAAATAAAAATATTTCTACAAATAAAATATTTTATGATATAAATATATTATATATTTTTTTGTTATTTATATATATCACATTATATTTTATAGATGGTTTTGTCATAATAATGGATATCGAGGAGTATTTGATGGATGTGTTTGGACTCTTACACAAAATGATACACATTTGTCTTACATTGTGCAAGGTCCATTAATAGATTCTAAAAACTATGATGAGATTTTATCTGAATACTTCAGATTAAATGAATGTTTAACAGATCTGTGCAAAAAATGGATTGCAGTAGATCAACATTTTAAAAAATCCTTAAATAAAATAAATGGTGTTAGAATATTAAATCAAAATGTTGTTGAAAATGTTTTTTCTTTTATATGTAGTTCAAATAATAACATTCAAAGGTATATATATAAAGATATTTTAATTTATTAATTTTATTTATTATATTTTTATTTTAGAATATCAAAAATGGTAGAAAAATTATGTATATTGTTTGGTGAAAAAATTTGTTCAGTTGAGGGCAAAAATTATTATAATTTTCCATCCATTGAAGCATTAGCGAATAAAAATGTTGAAGATATATTAAAAATGGAAAAATTTGGATATCGTGCAAAGTACATAGCAAATGCAGCAAAATGTTTAATTGAACTTGGTGGAAAAGAATGGTTATTAAATTTACACAAAAAAAATAATGTACCATATATTCAAGCTAGAAAACAATTAATTACTCTTCCTGGAATTGGTCCAAAAGTTGCAGATTGTATATGTTTAATGTCATTAGGCCATTTAGAGTCTATTCCTGTAGATACTCATATTTTTCAAATAGCTAAAACAAATTATTTACCTCATTTAAAACAATATAAAACTGTTACTCCAAAAATTCATGAGGAAATTAGTAATTATTTACGTGAATTATGGGGTCCTTTAGCTGGTTGGGCTCAAGCTCTTGTTTTTTGTGCAAAAATTAACGATATTGTTACTACTACCACATCAAATTATAAATGTAAAAATATAAATAATAAATCATTTCATCATTATAATTTAAAAAATCTTAAAAAATAATATATATTTTATTAATATTAATATATATTATTATATAACAATAGATTTTTATTTAAATTAATATTTTTTACTTAATAATCTTTTTTAATTTTTTATATTATATTATATATTTAGAAAAATGTACAAAATCATGTAAAAACTTTAATTCTAATTTTCCTTTCATTCAAATATTTACAATATTATTGTCTAATAATTATAAGATTTTATAAACTATATAAGTCATGTCTGAGAGAATAATCATTATGTGTACATTTTTTCTTCTTTTTTCGACTCATACCCACTAATGCAAAATCAAAGTCATCTAGAATCATATAATCTGTTTCATATAATTCTAATTCATCTTCCTCATTCTCATCATCACTATCTGCAAAAAAAGTAATATATATATACTTATATATAGTATGAATTATTTATAAATAATATATTTTTTTATAAATAAAACCAATAACTTACTTGAATGAGTTTTTAATATATCGGCAAAAATGCTTTGAGTAAGATATCGTAATCCAGGAAACATAGTTGATAAATATGCTCTATGTGATGATTTTAATACAGACAAGCAACTTACTTGTAAAGATACTGGTACAGAACAACTATAAGTCAATCTCATCTTACTTTGCGCAGCTGTGGAACATACCATAGGATACAATATAAAATCTCTTAATCCAGTAAAAGCAATACCTAAATAAAGAAATTCATTGTACGAAAAAAAATATAAAGTGCTAATAATTATAACGTTAAATTTACCTAATGATTTTCTATTAAGGAAAAATTCTAAAGTGCCTCTCCAAGTATCCAAGTATATGCCCACTAAACTACCTTGCCCAAAACAAGAACCATATTTACGTTTTTGACCACCATGTTGTATATATCCTTGATAAGAAAAACCAAAAGATTCTCTGTCAAGTCCAAGAAATGAACAAAAAACATGTTTTGTATTATTTAAATCCACTTTACTTGTTCCAACTCCAACCATCTAAAATATTTCATTATTAATAAAAAATGAAAATATATATTCATTTTACATTAAGTAATAAACATGCATTATTAATTCCCATTGAAAACGCTTACAATATCTGTTCCATAAACAGGTGTGAGCATTTTAATTTCCCAATAATGATATCTTCCTTTTTCTAATATTTTGTTACCTCTCACAGCTGCTGTACCATAACTATATCCATTATGAAATTTAACTTCTAAATCATTTTTTGATAAAATTATAGTATATGTAGCATTTTCCTTGTCCCATGCCCATTCATGTACTGGATGTATAAATAATAAATTATAATTTAAAGAATAATATTTATATGAAGTTTAATAAAACAAAAAATTAGTTTTAAATTACTTATTTTCGAATAAAAAAGAAAAAAAATTTTAATATTATTTTATATAAATATTTTTTTATATTACCATTATTTTCTCCACAACTACAATCTTGCGAATTACAATTACAAAACTTTGCATACTGAGACAATGATATAGGATCGTATTCGAAAAAATTCATAATTCTAAAATTCTGAAATTAAATATTTTTATTAATCAATTATCAATTATTCTTTCACAAATTAAATTATGATGATATAATATATAATGTTATGTTTATTATACTTTGATTTACTTACGATTGACCCTGATCTTTAACTGTTGTAAAAGTTTGTATACATCTGTACAATGTATACATCTGTACAATGTATACATCTATACAAATAATATATATATATGAATATTGCAAACACATGTTTCTATATATTTATATATATATAGATATATATAATGTATCATAATATCATAATCATAAATTTATAAATTTTTATAAAGAATGTAATTAAAATAATAATAATATTAATGTCAAATAATTATATATGAATAGAATTTTCTATCATATTTTTTAAAATTTTGTCTAGTTACTTTTTCAAAACTTAACATAATTTAAAAAATAATTTAATAACAAATTATATGTATATTTCATTAAAATTAATATCTAAAAACTCAATATGTAATAACATAAAACAATATTTTATATATAATAATTAAAAAATTAAAAATTATAGTAGTTTACTAGTTTAATAGGTTACTAGATTAGATTGGTAGAAATGTTTAAATTATTCAAAGCAAATTTCCGTCTTCTATTGAGTTACGCAAGCAGCAATTGTGCATTCTTATCAAGTTTTTTGAATTTTCAATAAAATTTTATAAAAAAAATGTTACGCTTTGTAGGAAAACAAATAAATAACACCTTAAGAAATTCTTTAATTCCATATAATATGGTTATAAGACAAAATATTCGTGCTTCACATGATGGACCGCAAGAAACTGAAGAAGAATTTAACAAACAGTATGTGACCTATCTGAATCGTACAAATCTTGATCATTGGGAATTTCGTCAAGCTATGAATAAATTAGCGGGTTAGTAATTATGTAATCATATTTCTTTTTATGATTACATCTATTATTCTTTAATAATTTGAGTTATCTTTTAAATAATTTAAATCGAACAGTGACGTTCTATTTTCAAAAAATTTTTCGAATACCTTTCGTTTTCTTATTTATTTAAATAGTTAATTGAAATAGTTAATATTGTAACAATTCATATTAATAATAAAAATTATTTTTTCAGCTATGGATCTTGTACCTGATCCAAGTATCATATGTGCAGCATTAAGAGCTTGCAGACGATTAAATGATTTTGCTCTTGCTATCAGGATTTTGGAGATGGTAAAGGATAAATGTGGATCTAAGGTTAAAGAAATTTATCCTTACATATTACAAGAAATCAAACCTACTTTAGATGAATTAGGTATTAATACAATAGAAGAACTTGGTTATGATAAACCTGAATTAGCACTTCAATCAATTGATGATATACATTAATTAAGTTATTTACTTAAATTTGATAAACATAGTATCTATGCATAGAGGTGCTTCATGTTAGACCTTTTCATAAATAAACAAAAAGTCACTTTTCAAATTAGAATAAAATAATATTTGTTGTTGATAATATTTATCATGCTATATCGTATTTGAAGAATATTTATGAATTGAAAAAATATATAAAAATATATAATACATATATTGTTTTTAAGATTATTGAAAGTAACAAAACAAAATGATATGTATATATTATATTTTAATTTCTATTGGTTCCTGATGTTGTTTCTAAATTTTTAATATTTTTCAAGTTTTTCTTTTTTCATTCTTTTTACATCAAAAGTAACCAAAGCAGAAAGGTGACACAACAATGATATATGTACAAATTACATTTTAAGACACAATGATAAAGTCATGTACACATACATCTATAATTATCTAAAATGGTATTACATTTTTTTTGAAATGACATTAAACATAATTTATGTTCTGTATGATTTGTCATAAACAAGAACAAAAAAATACAACATGGTCTTACATGGGAGTATCAATATATTACATTTTGTATGTAATGGCCATAGTTTTAAAAAACAATATAACAATTAATATCTAGTCATTGTGATTTGTTCTACTGATAATTATTAAATTTATATTCTATTTTCTTCTATAATGTTATAAAAACCTTCTTCTTTTTTGGTATCGTTCATACTTGGTGTCGAGGGCAGTTTGTTGTTTCAATGTTACGACTCTGCTCCTGACATACATATTTTGAAAGAGAACAGTGTATTATATATCTACAGGAACTTCATTTATAATAAAAACACATGTACTAAAAGATATTAATTAAACAAGTATCACAAATTTGTTATTAGAATTATCTGAAAATTATATGCATATATTATAACACACACACATACACACACAGATACTAAAAAATATAAAAATATAAGCAAAATTATTAAAATAACGTAAATTAATTTTCAAAAGTCAGTCACACGTCCTTGCAAATTGGAAACCGCAACATTGAAACAAGATTGCATTAATGAAAAAAAAAAAAAATATTTTTCCTAACATTAAATATATTGTATAAAAGTGAGTTGGCATTTAAATGCATGAAAATGTTTCGATCTTTTTTTCATTAATAACAAAAATAAATACATTTTAGATTATCTGATAATAAAATAAAGAACAATATATGATTCTTTATTTCTATAATCTGTATATTATTAAAGTATATTATACAGAATAGAAATGAAAAAATTTTCATTTTGAGAATGATATAGTGTTCTTTATAATATCACTTAAAAATAATTTCCTAATATAACATAGTATACATACATTAAAAGTAATTACATTTTGTGGGTGTGCATTGAGACTTCAAATCCGTATGTCTTATTTTTCAAAAAATTATCTCTTATAGCCTATTTGTACCCGTCAGAAATGCTTAATTTTTTTTTTTTTTT